TCAGGCATATTTGAGTGTAGCTGATCTCATGTCTAGAGTCTCATGTGTTATCGTCTCTCATGTCGAAACAGTTGAGTGTGTGTCTCATTATCAAAAGTATGACGTCTTTTTATAGTCGCTTCATGTCAACAGTGGAGTATGTCTCATGTCAAACAGCTGAGTAGTGTGTATCATGTCACCGTTGTGAGCGAGCATGAATATGCTTGTCGTCTCAGGCTGACCACTCAGTTTGATGTGTATTTAGAATGTCTCATAGATATATAGACGAACGCAACTGAATTTGATATGGTAATTGTGATAGTCTTCAGATGCTAGCCTAATACAGTATTAGGAAGTGCAGCCATCAGTCGGTGTGATCAATCTATGCATGAGTTTGGTGTCTCTGCCATCAAACGCTTGAGTTTGTGTCTCATTGTTAATCGTATTGGTTATTTGAACAAATGTCTTATACATATACGATTTAAGAGACTTTTCAAATGATTATCCCCTTTTTGTTTTCTGTCCTTTATTTAAAACTTTCTTTGAGCTTCTCTTTGGGTTCCAATTCCATAAAGATAATTGTGAATACTCACTGCTTTTCTTTATTCTACATGAAAATATTAGGATTCATTCAAATACTGTTGATTATTCTATCCTCAGGCTAGGAATAGTATTCGAGATTTGTCATCTAATTGTATTAATCATTTTCTCCAGGATATAGAATAGAGAAACACAGTTTTTATCCTTGTGGTATTGAATGCTATCAGCTCTTCAGACAACATAGTGGAAAGATGTGAGCATTGTTCAATTGTGTTGGTATGCAGCCTAGGTCTGGTCTGTTTAATAAAGCAAATCTGCCACTTTTATATTGTAGAATTTGTTAAATTAAAGCAGTCTTTAATTGTTTGTCTTTGAAAAATAATAGTATACAGTTTATAGTGTGTATCACCTTTAGCTTGAAAATACATAGATGTGTTTTTTTTTATCTATGAAATAGATAGACAGACAGACAGACAGACACTTTATCAATCCCAAATTGGGAAATTATTTAACAGCAGCAGTGTGTTCAGGTATTAAAATATTTAAAGTTTGAATAAAGTATAAACTACACAACACAAGTATAATGCACAGCAATCCATAAGAGAAGTCCGATATGTTCATGAAAACTCCCCAGGAGACACCGACAAGTAACGTGGCCGAGTGGACTCCGGAGTTTGCTGCATGAGTTGCACTGTATGATCTGTGGTGTAGTGGGCTGTCACTCAAAAACGGAGTAGCCAATGGGGACACACCCCTGAAAGTCCCGCCCGCCTGGGATGTTTGTGTCAAAATCGAAAACAAAAAATTAGGGAGCGCAAACGAGAAGAGCTGCAGCGAGAGCAAAAGTCTGATCATTGAGAAAGAAGAAACAAGAACTGCAAACAAAAACCTATGTTAAAACAAAGAAAAAAGACTTTGTATAATTTGTTTGCAACTTTTAGTTTTATCTATGAAATTTATTTTATTTTGCTTGAGTTTTTTTTTCTTTTAAACAGTTTTGCTTTATTCTGAGAAAGTGTTGCTTTATCTTTATGAAACAAAACTAATACCATATTTAAGGCTGCAAGGCACAATGCATTCATTGTACACAATCTGAGTTCAAAGTGCCTCAGACACCACAGACACACTCTCATCTTGTCTACAGGAGGAATGTTTGAAACAGTTTATATCCTCAATCGAAGCATTGTTTAACTTCATGAACTCAAGAACAATGACCCTCATGTTTGTCTGATGAGTCCATCAGAGTCATCCAGACTGCAATATCAAAAGTATTAAAGAATATCAATGTTTCTAATCTAGGAACTTCAGATCTGGTACAATGAATGTATTGTGTGTTTTCGGAAAAAAAAATCCCAAATTTGAATCAATAAAGTATATCTTATCTTATCTTAAAATAAAATGCATACATGAAAACCATGTTACTGATACTGCTGGAGGAAAGCTGAGTAGTGTGTGTTGAGACAGCTGTCAGAGTGTTTGACCTCTGGCCAGCATCAGTCAGGTTAATCACACCGTTGAACTTTGTGAGGGTCTAATGTGGCCTTGGGGAAGGAATGAACAGCCATGTAATTCTTCTGTGACTGTGATCACAGAGGAGGGAGAGCCTGTAGCTGCTGAGCTACAGGAAACACTGTGAGAACACGCTGACTATCATTATTAGCCTATACACTGTAAGGGAATTAATGAATTGCTGAATGTGTGTTGCAGAGATATTCTGTTGTCCTTTTGGGCATCCAACCAAACCTTATGACAGATAAACTGCTTTGTTACACGGACCCAAAAGATGCATCATCGTTATGATCACATTAAAGTATTACGCATTACAGTATAATTTTTGGAGATTGGTTTAGAGGCCAACTTTCCAGAAATGGATGCAAACATTCATAAATACCAAAATGATCTGTGTATCAGCTCCAGTGCTCCATGCCAACAGTTTATACTCAACAGAACCTTCCTCACACTGTCCTCACTGAGAGGACTCACTGTCTATCAGAGAAACTGTCCTTAATCAGACACCGTAGGGTTATACTGCTAGTGAATCAAATCATATCCACCTCATGTGCTTTGTAATATTTACCCTACACTCATCGCCCACCTCTGCTGTTAAAAAACGGACAGCAGTCCCTGAAATATAAGAACTGATGCTCGGGGGTAAGGTTTAAAGGCTCTGCTGTTGTCACGCTGTCTTTAACCTGTTAAGCCCTGAGCCTGTTTCTCAGGTCTCAGGTTCGAAAATGACATTGCCAGAACAAATGACCATATCTTCCCTTCTAAAAGGGTTAAATTAATTATCTTTTTTCTCAAAGCAATGATAAACCTGTGAGTTGGATGTAGAAGAGTCAGAATCAATATAGAATGTTGTTATTTTAAAGTAAATTCAGATTGAACATAGTAATTATAGTGTCCGTCCACAAAAAAAACATTACTTATAGTGAAAAACACCCTTGAATGATGGGATAGTAGAGTAAAAGCTTTAGGAATCCAAACTATAACATATAATAAGTACCCTGTATCAAGATTGATGCAAAACAAGTGAAATTGTATCTTTTTAGAGAAGTTTAGCAACAAAAGAAAACACCTTTGGGGTAATTTGGGTGGATTTGCCGTTTCTCTGGAACCCATTGGTCGATTTTGGTGATTGACATCTCTTTTGAACCGTTAGAGCCAATAAAATCGAAGGGGAAGTTCCACATACACACACACGTTTCCATTGGGGTTGTGAGAGTGACGCGCACGCAGTCCAAAGCTATGTTACGCTCTGAAAACTGAAAACTGAAACCTTGGCTCAAACTAGTAAATATCAAGATGGATCATCAGTAATAATTTCAAAGTGACACAGACACATTGGATTAACCATTGGATTAACCTTCAGCAGCGTTTTTATCCTTTTGATGCCATCGAACACAACTTTTGATCAGAACAACAGCAAAGGTAAGACTATTCGCGTGTTTGCTCCGTAAAGCTACGTTGTGTGATGTCTGGGTTTGTATCCCATGCCGCAAGTTTTGATCGCAGTGATGATACTTATATTTCTGGTATCTGTGGAATCTCAGCTTGCTAGCTGATGTCTTGTTTGTGCAGATCCGATAAGTGGTGGAGTGTTTCTACCGTGAGTTATGTGCTAAGTTCGTTAGCATTTTTTCGCTCAGGGCTGATTCAGAGGCTCGGCGTTAGACTTGTGTTTCGTTTGGCTAAAAAAAAAAATCATATCGTCAGTTAGCTGAGTTTCTTCCCGTTAAGTGGATATGGCACATTCATAGTTTGTTAAATGTTAAGAAGCCCTCAGACGCTGTTTCTTGCAAGATGTTGTGTTTTGCCCCCACGGGCGGGGCTTAACAGGTTAAAACTATAAGCAAAAACTTTACCTTTACTCTTTTATCCAAGTATTAAGTTTTATTACATTTATTTTAATAAATCTTTCCTTTCTTTGTAATTTCGCCAACATTTTACCCACTAAAGCATTTTCTTGAGTGTTTCTTGTACTATCAGACTTCATTTTAGCAATGTCAAAGCAATCTTAAAACTGAGCAGTTAGACAACATTTTTAATTAGATCCAAGTTGTAATGAACTAGAATTATCCTCGGAGTGCATGGTATTTACTACCAGTATTCTTTACAGATACAATATTACTAAATCATAACTTATTGAACTATTGAAGATGATTAACATGCTTTCACCCAAACTGGAGCAACATGTAAGCATGGAGTACTACGGCAAATCAACAGGATCATTGTGTCTTCATTATGTCATCAGTGTCTGAAGTCTATATCGCTGTAATGCTGAGTCATGGTGCTGACCTTGTCGTCGCAGCTGCAGCCCAGGTCGTCTGTCCCTGCCGGGGCCAGGGCCGAGGACAATGGTCTGGACACCTCCTCGGGCATGGTGGCTCTGTGGGGGGGGCTCCTCAGCAGGTGGTTCATACTGCCATGGGTTCCATTGTTAGGAGCTGGTTTCAGACCCAGAAGATCTGAGAGTGGGAGAGCCAGTTTCACCGCAGAATCAGAATCACAATTCCTTTATTAGTCCTGCAGCGGGGGATCTTTACAGTGTTACAGCAAAAGGAGTATAGCAGGTAAAAAGGCGACAATAATGAAGAGTAGGCTAACTTATTAATTATAAAGAATAAAAGCACACATAAGTAATAGTATACAAAATAAAGACAAACAATTACATATCCATGGCTGAAAATGAGTAGCAGCAAAACATAACTAAGTGACAAAAGTAACAGATGTAACATATGTTTTTGTGATTATTGCACAGTGTTGCAAAAAAAGTGTCTATCATTGCAGGTTCATTGCACAAGGTTGCAGCAGTCTGTGTTGTCTGTGCCAGCTCCCAGAGACAGAGAAACAGACATTACGGTCCAAGATATCTGGAATCAAACACTCAGAACAAAGCACACAGGGACGCAAAAATATGTCTTACCACACATGACGTTATAAAGCTCAATGTTTTCGAAGGCTGGGACTTTAGTTTTGAATTTAAATGTAGGTCCATACCCCAAGAAAATAGTCTGAAAATGAAAATGGATTTGTTACAACAACGTTAATGTTTCAGAATGAAGGCCTAATTATTTGGCCTATTAAATCAGTGGAATAGTTCATACAATGGAGGTATAATCAGTGTTACAGGACAATATAGATTATGAGAGTACCTGCATGCTGTTGATCTTATTGTCGTATCCATGGTCACCAGCGAAGCCGCAGTGCCTCTTCCCCTCAGGGACCTTCCTGTATTGAAGAATAGGAATTATTGTATTGGCGCACATTGTTGTTAGTTGGATTTAACAAATATGGAATGAAGTATCATATATTTAAAAATATCAAAGTAGCAACATAAGCTATGTCATTTAAATATGGCAAAAATCCACACTTCCAGCATCCATACACTTTCTAGGTTTTTTGCAACCATAGAAAGTGCTTTTTACAGAACATTCATGTATCTGCTCCTCAGGAGGATCAACACTCTGGGTTTCACTATTTTGCACTTCGACGTGTTGACCAAGCTAAACAAGCAATTTTTTTTATTTTAAATTTCTCTTCGCGATTCTGAAAATCCTACACACCAATTCATGGCAAGCTGTGTTCAAATAAGGGAATTAGTAAAGAGATGTTTCGAGCTAGACTTTTGAAAATCTATGAAAAACTGTTCAGGATTAGTGCTTCCTTGAAAAACAACATGGTGTTATTTTTTTTCTTTCATGCTGGTAGATAGAATAGAATGGGAGGGATGAAACCGCAGGGCAGGGCAGGAGGTGAACATTGCATAAAAGTCAAATAAATCATGAAGGGTTTCACCTCAAAGGTTTCCAATCACTAGACGTTTTAGAAAGGTTCAAGTTTAACTTCAGTATGTTTTTATTATTCAGCTACTTAAGCCCTCTTCCCAGGAAAAGCACTCCTTAACAACCCCCAGCCTCAGTCCTGAAAAAAGGCCACTTCGTGCTAAGTGTCTTTTAAAAACGACTGACTAGTGTGTGTGTGTGTGTGTGTGTGTGTGTGTGTGTGTGTGTGTGTGTGTGTGTGTGTGTGTGTGTGTGTGTGTGTGTGTGTGTGTGTGTGTGTGTGTGTGTGTGTGTGTGTGTGTGTGAGTATGTGTGTGGCGGGGGGGCAATGTCGGGTATGAAGCCACAAGCATGTGAAAAATGTAAATGACTAGCTGACAGGAAAATAAGACAAACTCAGTGTTTCATTTCGTGTGAACAGGTAGTGGTTGAGGATTTATGCTGTGTGTGTGTGTGTGTGTGTGTGTGTGTGTGTGTGTGTGTGTGTGTGTGTGTGTGTGTGGGTGTGCGTGGGTGTGGTGGGTGTGTGTGTGTGTGTGTGTGTGTGTTTCAATATTCCGCTCAAAGCTCCGGTGCCAACTATTAGTCCGTCCGTCTATCTGAGCTGCAGAGAGACCTCAAAGGTCTCTTTCATTTAGCATTTATATGTGTGTGTGTGTGTGTGTGTGTGTGTGTGTGTGTGTGTGTGTGTGTGTGTGTGTGTGTGTGTGTGTGTGTGTGTGTGTGTGTGTGTGTGTGTGTGTGTGCGTTGTAAGCCGAGGTTTGTTTTCACTTTTCAGTGCAGATGACCTCATGGTTTACTTTGTCACTGAATCACTGCGGTCACACTTTTCATCTCTCAACATCAAAGTCCCCTTCAGCAGATGCATTTCAAGAAAATATCTATGGTTTTCACACGAGTGTGGCCCATAACAGAACATGTAAAAAAATATTAGCACTTCATATGTTAATGGTGTTATTAGCAGCCCATCATCAAATGTATCTTTTAAGTAAAGCAAGATGTGCAGTAAAAAACTCAGATGATAGGTGGGCAGCCACATCACTTCCTGCTACTAAAAGCAGCCAAACATTTGAGTCAATTAGTCACTTCTACAGGAGAACCCTGATCATCTAAACATTTTAAGAATTATGGGGGACGGGGGAGACATGGATCACTTGACAAAAAAACAACGGGACCCAATTGGATTTTGGAATAGTTCCGAAAATGATAGCAAAATGGCATAGCATGATGGCAAACACACGTTTATGATACGTTTTGTTCAGCAGGATAATCTCCACATATCGAAACTTTTATAATAGTTGAAGCGTAAATGCAATCAGCAGAATCAAAAAGCTAATGCTAGGCTACAAACGAACAACATCACACTTTCATGGCTGCACTTCACCAGCGCTAAGCTAAAGGCAGTGTTTGGCGACGTTTAGTCATCTCATTTAGTCACTTATTAGCAACTTTTTTTATGACACATAGCAGCTTCAACATTCACCAGTGTGGTTTTTATTGACGTATTTTATGTCGTAGAACAAAACGTATTTTTCTTTTCAATTGGCCATTCAAAAAACAATTGTATTTGGGACAGGGGAACGGGAAATGTTCAAATGCTGACTCATTTCCGACTTTTAGGACTCATTACTGCTCCTGTCCAATTTTGTTGACGTTATTTGTACTTCCTGTTGCAGTGGTTGTACTGTACCTGGCAACGTGCCACTTCCTCTCCACCAGCAGGTGGATGTCCTCTATGCGTCTGTTGTTGGCGTAGTGCAGTCTCTTGGGCAGGTGCTGCTTCAAGTACGCCTTAAAGTGCTGGTCTGCTCTCTTACACTGGAACAAAGCCATCACACAGGTGACCAAAGTGCAAGAAGAAACAAACAAAGACTACGACGCCACTGTTGTGCAATAACACTTACTGTGTGTGCAATATGTTCCGAGTTCAAATTATTATTATAATTCTTATTTTGAAAATGGTAATACTGTAACAAGAATCTGTAAGTAACTATGTGCAATATATAATCTTACTTCTGTTATCTAGCTTCTACCGGACGACATCCTACATGTATCACTTCATTTTTTTCGGGTAAAAACTGCTGCTGCCACTTTCTACCCGAATGTTTACTTTGTAAATTGTGAACTTTTTTATTACGAATGTTTACTTAATAAATTGCAAACACTTTTAATTTGTATTTCTAATATTATGTGCATGCCCTTCATCCAATAGTGTTTTATTGTTTGTCTCTATCTTACTTTTGTTGCAATAATGTGAATGTCCCCTCTGTGGGAAGAATAAAGGAAGTCTGATTCTGATTCTGACCAGCCGTTATCACCTGATCCATATTTCTTTGCTACAATAGTAAAACATTTCTTCTCATCAAACTTAACAAATGTTGTCATCAATACTCATCACACAGTTGACTCTGTACTCTCATATTTGTCATGCAATCCTTATACTTACTGTTAGATTTGCAACAACAGCCTTGGCATCATCTGAAAAGATAACAATGAACAGAGCAGTGAAAATAAATAATCAATAAATAAATAACTTAATTAAAGCATTAATCCTCCATTTTAAAGTAAAACAAAGCAAGATAATGTTACCAATGAGAAGAAGTAGGACAAATAAACAAAGACATCTTACTAAATATAAATTTAGAAAATAAATGATACAGCCAATGTTTCCACTGGTAGCTGCTGTAAGTTCTGTGGATGCTGCCATAATTACATCACAGCCTCGTGTTATTTATGGTGATGAAGATCTAACAGACAAAAAGCTCTGTAACAACGAGCTCAGCACAATCAATCATTAGCTGATGTTGTCCATGTTGAGTGAACAGAATAAAGAAAACCAAAAGAAACAATAAAAGGAGAAAGAAGAAAGAGGAGTATGAGCTGTCACTTCTCTAACATTTAGGGTTGTTGGGGAATCTGGAGCGTATTCTGCCCAGAGACCCAGGGATAAGGATGATGTCATCAGCGTTGCTCAGGTAGTTACTGAGGAACTCGGTGCGATCACAGTGGGCCTCTTCCATACCTGAGAACACACACACACACACACACACACACACACACACACACACACACACACACACACACACACACACACTTTGTCTTAAAATACTCCAGTACAAGATGTCCTGAAGTCAAAATGTTACTTAAGCAGAGGTACAGAAGCTAAATGTACCTTAAGTATCAAAAATACTCACTATGCACAATGACTCTTTTCAGACTATTATTATTATATTTTACAATATTATATTATTCTGTTGTTGTTGTTTTTGCTTACAGATACATGGAAGTGCAAATCAATGTTGTTGTTTGCCAATGTTTGCAATGTTAGCTACCTTTTAAAATACTGGTTTTGTTATAAGTAATGTATTGCATCATATCATATATAAAAATCATGTGTTTTTATATGTAAAAGTAGCTGGTAGCTTTGATTGTTAAATACATGTGTTAGAGTAAAAAGTATGATATTTCCCTATTAAATATAGAAATGTAGAACAGGGTTAAAGTAGCATAAAAATAAATACTGAAGTGAAGTCTGTTAGTAAGTGTCTTTGTTGGGGTGTGTGTGTGTGTGTGTGTGTGTGTGTGTGTGTGTGTGTGTGTGTGTGTGTGTGTGTGTGTGTGTGTGTGTGTGTGTGTGTGTGTGTGTGTCCCACCATGGTCCCCCACCAGGATGATGTTGACACAGCGGTGCAATTTCATCTGTTTCAGTCCGTCCATCAGTTGGCCAACAATCCTGTCAATCAGTCTCAGAGGGCTGTTCAGCTGAAACACAGGAAGTGAGTGTGTGTGATGTGATGCCACACGATGCACACAGAGAGAGAAACTATATGGGTGTGTGAGTATCTTTATGTGCTTTCCATGTAAAAAGACACATCCCAGTCCACACGCACACAGGTGCTCACCTCGGCGCTCATGGGCCCCACTTTGTGTCCGTATGTGTCCGGCTGTTCAGAGTGCATGGCGTACACGTAGGGGCTGGAACAACATCACATCACATTGGAAAAGAGTTGAGCTACACTTATCAACATTAAATGCTTTTCGGAAACAGCTGCTTCACGGTGTTTTGAAGTGGTGGAAATCTAGTCCATTTACTCAAGTACTGCACTGAATGACCTTACCTGATTATTGTTATTTGATAGTACTTTAAACATGAACTTGACAGTAATGTTTACTACTTATTTATTCAGATTTTACATTAAATTTAACAAAGAATGATATGATCCATTTCAGACGTCTCTGAGTTGACAGAGCTTTCCCCATTTAAATCACAGTCTAAAGCTTAAAGACTTCAACTCATCCAACATTTTACAAAAAAGAGAATAATTTAAAATATATATACACATTTGTTTAAAATAAATGTTTTTTTGAGTTGCTGACTGTAAGATGTTAAAACGTTTCAAATCTACATTTGATACAACAATAAATGCAATGCACACACTGATGTCTCAGTAATAATTATTCACTGCAGAACAATTTATTTTAGTTTGATACTTTAAGTACCTTGCTGCTAATACTTCTGATCTCATAAGATGAATTTGCTTTTTGTATTCATTATATTGAAAGGGGGAGTGAGAGGGGACGACATGGAGCAAAGGTCCATGTTTCTGACTGAAACACACTCACTCGCAAATGTACATTTCCTTTCTGAACATCCAGTTGTGATACTTGATTTCATTACAGGATGTGAAACAGCTGATGGGATATAGTGAAATATACTCTTACTTTAGTGTGGCTACGATGGAAACTAGAGTGTGAGACAGACAAACGTGAGAAAGGATTTCACCTCTCGCCTTCAGGGAGGTGGAGCCACTGTAGCATGGTCAGAATCCGCCTCTCCAACGGGATGGACCTGGAGCATAAAGACACACAGGGAAGGGTCACATGGTTAACATTTGAAGAAATCCATAGCGGCAAGTGACAAACAAGCCACAGACAGAGTTAGAGCAGTATACTGTGGTGCTGTCTTTATCCATCATTAACATCAAACTGTTCCTTCTCCTCACAAAGAGCTTCATTAAGCAGGGGTTGTAGAGTAGAACCCTCTCACTGTTTAAAGTGTCTCAAAGTCAAATGCTGGCTGTGTGGTGACGAGGCCACCAACCCAGCAGCTGGCTGTCACACAGGCCACAGCTGTCAGACATCAAGCCCAGGATGCAGGCCCTGAGTGGGGCTTGATGCATGAGGCAGTAGGGTGGAGGGGGAGGGGGGGCAGCATGGAGTACTAAGGAGGACTGACAGAAGCTCTCCCTCCTTTTTGATCCTCTTCTCTCCATGTTCACACACTCCCCCCATTGTCTGTTTGAAAAACTCTACTTTCCTTATTCACTTCTATCCAGAGTTGGAAGAAGTACTCAGATCTTCTACCTCAGAAGTAGAAATACTAAAGTGTAGAAATATTGTATTCAAAATGTTACTCAAGTAAAAGTACAAAAGTATTAGCATCAAAATATACTTAAAGTGCCAAAAGTAAAAGTAGTCAATTAGGCGCTTTCACACCGGACTACTTTTCCCCGTACTTTTCCCGTTTAGTTCCGATAGTTCCTTGGATTTTGCGTTCAGACCAAAAAGAGAACTTAGTTCATGAAAACTTTTCGCCCTTTTTTAGTGCCTGCTAGAGAGGTGGTACTTTCCTGGGGAGAAAAAAGTTCCAATTTCTGATTGGCTGAGCGAATTGCAAACCACGCCCCGTAAAACCATAAAAGTTTTGTGAAGCCGCCGTTGTATTTGCTGGCATTAGCATTATTAGCATTAGCCCCGCGCACCAACAGAGAGAGAATAACTTGTGGCAACACAAAAAAAAACATGGGAGCGGTGGAGATGAGGAGGTGTCGGCGTTCTGGCGATTTACTCGGAAGGCAACTTCCGGGGACTTCCGGCCGGGGACTTCGGGTGGCAGTATACGCCGTGAAGTTGTTTGCGGCCTGCCAGTAAACCCAAAGCAGAAGAAGAAGAAGTGACGTCAGCGGCTTCATTTGCATAATCTTCCCTCAGGGACTTATTCCGATGTGAACCATGGTGTGAACCATGGTTCACACCATGGTGTGAACCTGGTGTGAACGAGATCTGCTGTTTAGTTCCGGGAACTAAAGAGTTCCGATGAACTAAGTACTGGGAACTAAGTATGGCAAAGTACTTGGTGTGAAAGCGCCTATTGTGCAGATTGGTCCATTTCAGAATAATATATATGATATGTTTTATAATGATTGATCATTAAAGTGTTCTCAAAGCTGGTAAAGGTGCAGCTAGTTTGAATGACTTTGTATACTGCAGGGTAGCTTGTGAATTTACTCCAGGTGGAACTAAAGTCTGATTTAACACTTTTCAAATCATTCATCCAGATCTGTAAAGTAACTAAAGGTATGAAATACATGTAGGGGAGTGAAAGTACACCATTTAGCTCTGAACTGTAGTGGAGTAGAAGTACATGGTTAATCAAAAAGAACCTGGACTGAACATTAATATAATATTTGCACTGTATGTATACAAGACTTTTGTCGCACTGCTACCAGCACATTTACATGTATATTTAACCTTTATACATATCTGTATATAGATTCACCTGTTTATAATTCAGAGTTATTGTCATTTTATCTGTGTTATGTATTAATCGATTTTTATTCTTGTTCTTCCTATGTGTACTATCTTTGTTTCTTTCTTATTCTGTTGCTGCTACGACACCCGCATTTCTCTACAGGGATCATTAAAGGTCTATAATATCTTATCTTATCTTAACCTCTGAATTGTAGTGGGATAGAAGTACAAAGTAGCAAAACATTTAAAAACTCAAGTAAATTACTAGTCTCTCAAAATTGTACTCAAGTGTGCTACTTGAGTAAATGTACTAAGTTACTTTACACCCCTGCTTCTATCTCTGCTGTCCCTGGGGTTAGGGGGACCCCCCAGAAAGCTGAACCCAGCAAAGACCTTCCACCAGTCAGCCAACCATTTAGCAAACCTCCCAGCTCCCATCACCATGCTGTCCCACTGTGGCACTGTAACCCTGTACTGTGTTGTCAAAAGGCCTCCTGTCTCTCCCCCTCTGTCCTCTGCACTGTCTCCTTCTCCTCTCCTCCCTTTCTTCTCCCTCCTCTGTCAGTGCCCAGTGTAAGGAGAGCAGTAAACCACACTGCTTCCATAGAGTGGCAAGTCTATGACCCTGGTTCACAGGAGTCGTGCATAGTGTAAACAGACCCATTTGCTCAAATTGCTGTAAAAACAGGCCTCAGCTGAGATGTGCCCCCCCTGCTCCATCAAAGCCTGCTCTGTGCTGATTAATGTGGGCTGTGTTGTGTTCACAGGCTGTAGGGTTAGCGCAGCAGGAACATGAACAGGCATGTTCTGATCACTTCCTCTGAAAAACTTACACCACCAAATGATTAACACTGATGAATTATCAATTAAACATAATGCATCTGCAGGGGCCTTAACAGCACTTTACACCCAACCTTCTTTGTTTTTAGTTTGGTGTTTGGGGAAATGAGAACAATACCACATGAGCTCAGGTGGAACCTCATCAGGACTACACATCATATTCTACAGACTTGATCAAATATCTTTGTAAGGAACAGATTGTCTTTAAGAATCACACCATGATCATTTTAAATATATCTTTCAATGATAATCAAATGAATGATGCCAGAATGATCAATCCCTCCATTATTCTGTTTTTTTACAATTACAATATCAAAATAATAGATTTGGCAGAAATGACTCATGGTTGGAAAGCATCCAATATTAATACATTACAATTTAATTATTTACATTTCAACAAACAGTGCATTCAGTATAAAAAAACATCAACATCTGACTCCCTGTAAGTCCTGTTTACAATGCCTGACTCATTTGAACAAATATAAATATGCCAAAGACAACTTTTCCAGAAAAGCAAAAACAGTCATTGCAGAGTATCCACCAATCCGTGATATGTACTAAGTGGAAATAAGATTAAATAGTAGTAGAAAACTAATGGAAAAAAGGAAGAGGTTTACTGTCACTTTGTGGAAGATTGTCTTTTTGGACATCCAAGTGTGGGAAGTGTATTCAGAAAGAAAATGTGCGACTGACTGAATACTCACACAGGCCAGAAGAAGGTGGCAGCCTTCACTCCCTGTTTGAGCGCGGTGATCCAGATCTGTGAGAGAAACAGAACAGTGTCATTTTGTATCGCTCTGTTAGAAAGAGACCACAGGAAAACCAAGGTCATGCTGGAGTAGCTACAGTACACCGAGAAGGATATCTCTCGGTGGGAGTATATGGAGTACTAAATCTCACAATAACTGTTATTATATCTATTATTATTACTACTATGTCTTTATTTAAAAATGACCATGTATAAAATGACATTTGTCTCAAAAAGAGAAGAGATGCCAGATTATAGCTAGAGGCTAATTTCCATCCATCCATGAACTTGGTGTCCATAGAGCATTTTGAAAAACACAGGTAAACACTGATGCTATATTCTATTCAGTTTGTCCAATTTGTGAAACAACAAATCAAATCATGTGGAAAAGCCCCTTTACTAGTACCAGACAAATGTAATGTCAACGTTGGTGGACCAAATCCAAACCTCAGTCAGCCAATTTCACAGTTTTTTTCAATTTGCACATCCTGATATTTGTACTTGACTAAATTAAAGGCCCAGAAACCACTTTTTTAAAAGCTTAAATAGAGTTGAAAGTTAGGACAGTCGACAAAAATGTTCCACGGCCCCAGCTTTTGAACAGTTACACCCCTCCCCAGCTTCAGATCAAGGTGTGCTCTGTATCTATGCAACTATTGCCCAGTGTAAAACCCCACAGGAGCTATGCGGTCCCCTTTTAGGTTTTGAGCATCCAGACTACTTTCCCCTCGCTTAAGAGCTGAGGTTCAGTACCTTCAGGCAGAGTTGGCAGAATGCCTTTTTCCCTCTCTGAGAGTGGCCTGCGGCTTGCACACTATAATGTTCTAGTCCTTGTTAGGGAATTGAAAACGAGGGTTCCTTAAATAATCACACGTCCTGGATGTTGTTGGTGGCACAGGAGATCTAAAAAATCTGCAATGCCAGCAGTACTGAAGTGTAAAAGTGTCAGGCAGTAAGATCCACATCCTCTGGTGCTAAGGGAAAGCAGCGTGTGGTAAGCCAACCTCCCAGCTCTCCCCAGCAGCACTTTAGATATTTCCAACCAGCCTCGATCCCTGGTGCCAGTCCCAATGCCATCTGGTTTTCTGCGCCTGTAAGCTGGCAGTTGAGAGCAGCTTTGTCTCCTGGGCTGAGCTGAGGATTGGTTTGCTCCTAAGAGGTCAGTGTTGAAATCCATTGCATGGGTCCTCATCTTGCCCAGACTGGGGGGACTGTGCCATCTCTCCAGGTTTAAGAAGAAAGACATCTGGCGTCTCTTTTTTTATTTGGAGGAAGACCTATTTCATTTTCTTTTGCAGGAAGAGCTCAACTCTCCTTCTGCAGCTGTTGACCAGCAGATGGTTTAGAGCAGGGGTCGGCAACCCCTGGCACGCGTGCCAGCATTGGCAAGCGGCACCGTAACCAGTGGCACACTAGGAATAAGTGGAATAAGTGTGCAATAATATTTAAATTGTATTTTCGGATCCTGAACGAGACCGCCGCCAGAGCGCGTCTACCTGCAGATACCTGCAGAAGGAAGCCATGCACGCAACGCAGCCCCGCTCTCTTTAACTCCAGGTGACTTTCTGCCGCTTTCCTCCGTGGTNAAAAGCTTAATATGCACCGTAACTTTCATGATATAATTTCTCGGTTGTTTCCGTGAACGGCCGAATGTTGTGTCACGGCAAATGTTGCGGCCGCGAGGCATTGTTGCCTCGCGGCCGCAACATTTGCCGTGACACAACATTCGGCCGTTCACGGAAACAACCGAGAAATTATATCATGAAAGTTACGGTGCATATTAAGCTTTTTAAAACGTATGTGGTAAGTTGCCAAAGTGCTTTGTTTTTAACTTTCATCAGTATTATAATCAAAAAGAGAAATATGAACGTTAGTTTTTACTGAAATTATCAAATAAAGTCAACGTTTCACAGTCTTTACTGAGCTGTGTGGGGTCTGTTCAACTTTTAAAAGATGTTTGAATGGTGATATACACATATGTTAAGGACTAACGTTTATAATAAATACATTTGTATTGATTTTAAGATCTTTTCATACAATCATACGTATTGGGATCATTTGTATTAATGTGGACCGGAGGGAGAGGGTGACGAACATAAGTTTCACTTTCATTTTTAATTTAAATTCCAACTTTGGTCATGAAGAATATGTGTCTCTGTTGTCCACGTTCATAAAGCATAAAGCAACAGCATCAGAGCACGGTGCAGAGTCTCTAGATGAGTTTACAGTAATCCGTCGTTCTTATTAAACATCCATGTTGTAGTCCGCTGTATAGAAAACTGTAGTTTCCATAGTTTCCCCAGCAGACGCACACAATGACGTCCGCTGGCGCATCATAAACACGTCGGATAGTGAAAGTGCATTCGGATTCTCTAAAGTACCGCAGTCTCTTCTCCCAAGTCTTTTTGAATTCTCCTATCCACTATCCCTTAACAGCGTGACGTTTCACTCAGAGGTCAAGGAATAGGAGATAGGGGGTAAGAACTTAGGAGCTGATTTTTAAACTATCCGAACGCAACCCAGGTCTTTCTTCATGCCTTGCCCCCCCCCCCTCCGTGCTGTCCCCTCAGAGGAAGTGGGAAAACGGGATAAGACCTCTGGACACCACGCTGTCTCAATGATCCACACTGTTAATATGAGAGGAAAATAAATGTTTTAGGAAATGAAAAAAAAAAATGAAGTTAACAAATAAAACACAGCTCAGGGGCAGTCATGGACGGTAGGTTTTCCTACAAAGTTAACTCAGCCTCCATTGATTTTCATATCAAATTAGCGTGTTAATAAAATAAGCTATCATGGCTTATACTTGCATATCTAAACAGAGTCATGAAAGCATGTTGGTAGAGTCAGGCACACGAGTCCGTTTGAGTGAGTGCGCCGGTGTCAACGCTCACTCACTGCTAGCTATGTAGCTAACTGTTAGGCTACTTAGCTTGCATTGTTATGGATCTAAAGGTAGCAAAAGCTAACTTTCATAGCACAGCTTTACTTCTCACTTACCACAATAAAGAAGCAGACCGTATAGTACAGCACAAACAACACACATGATCAATACTTACATATATTTTCACTTGTAGTATTATAATAATTGAAATGCTGGTTCTTCTGGGGGTCTTCTGTCCACGCTCAGCACCGCAGCTGCCTGCACTGTACAATCGCTGGAGGACTGGGCTGTCACTCAAAAACTGAGTAGCCAATGGGGACGCACCCCTGAAAGTCCCGCCCACCTAGGAGGTTTGTGTCAGAATCTCAAACAAAAAATGAGGGAGCGCAAAAGAGAAAGTTGCAGCGAGAGCAAAAGTCTGATCATTGAGAAAGAAGAAACAAGAACTGCAACAAAAAAAAAAAATTGTTAAAACCAGTCTATGGTTAAAACAAAGAAAAAATACTTATAGTTTACGTGATTACACAAATGATTTGTTTGCAACTTATAGTTTTATTTTTGAAATGTATTTTATTTTGCTTGACTCAGTTTTTTTTTCTTTTAAACTCATAGTTTTGCTTTATTCTGAGAAAGTGTTGCTTTATCTTTATGATACAAAACTAATCCTTAAAGGAATACTATCACAATTACAATACAAACATTTAAAAGGAATCTTAATCATGCCAACCAAACCTTTCATTAATGATGCTGTCTTTGTTCCTTATTTTTTCCTTCTTGTTTTCTCAATGTTTAAACTAACCCTCCTTTTTTGATTTTGAAGTTAAAGTTGTCTTTTTACACAGCAGACCTGTAAAAAGATTCATCAGCATGGGCCTACCACCCATGTTGATTTAATAGATAGTGTGTGTGTGTGTGTGTGTGTGTGTGTGTGTGTGTGTGTGTGTGTGTGTGTGTGTGTGTGTGTGTGTGTGGTGTGTGGGTGTGGGTGTGTGTGTGATTAGGCTATTAAGCTTTTGTATAAACTTTAATAACCTTGTTGCATCTTTGCTTCCTGCTGCCGAGCTGAAGTCAGTCACCTTCAGGTCAAGTCATTCACTCATGAAAGAACTCTCTTTTAATCAAAGTGTATCCTTCACATGAAAGCCTCCTCTCTCTGATCAGTGTTTTTAAATGTCCTTACTGAATGTTTTGGATAGGAAGTGATTTGTGTCTCCTCTGCAGTGTGGCGCTGTATCTCTGCTGTGTTTGTGATTCCCATGTAGATCTCTGGCAAGAGATTGTTTCAATCTCCAATCTTTTTGCAGTCGCGTGTAAAAAGTAGGGGCCAGAGAGGTTTGAAAGTGACCCTTGTACGAGGCTATAACCTGGAGCATCTGTGGCTCTGTCTCTTACAGAACAAAGTGGAGGAGCTAAACCAGCGACTGAGGCAAGCTATGGATGGTCAGTCCTCATGATGTTACTGAGACACTCTAATGACATGAACTGTGCTTACAACAGGAGGAGGAAGGAGCTCATAATACAAGTTCAATAACTCTAATCCTCACAGTAAATGAAGATCGATCAGCGGTATCCAAATGCGGCCTGTTGTCCATTTTGAATTGGCCCTCAGAAAGTTCTTAAAGTGTAATGGAATATAGCCCACACATACAATTTGTGCCTGTCTTATATTGTACTTCTTAAATATATATGTACAATATATTAAACAGTATTCATTTGTTAATAAGTCCACTTTTCAAATAAATTCAGTCAATTAGAGTTAAAAATATTTTCTAACAATGTATTTCCATAGCTTGAAATACACCCTTCAGATTTCCCCTTATTATAGCAGTCTGAGGGATGAACTGACACCACTTTGTGTACCAAAGTAAATGAAACCCTCTAGAGAGCTGTGATGTACCGTTTTTTTCCTTAGAGCATATTCAAGTATGAAGCATAATTTACTTACATTTGATTGATTTTGCTAACTTATAACTTAACTTATGAGGCAATAAACCTCATCTCTAGTGTGTGGCCCAGCCCTTCGTATATTTGTATGTATGTGGCCCTCAGTGAAAAAAGTTTGGACACCTCTGAAATAGAGCCTCGCTGCAATACGACATCTAGCAACACACTTTTCTAGGAAAGTGTTCAATTTAAATGTAGACTTGACTAAATCTAATGGTAATTATACGTCAACTTACATTACATTACATTACATTTAGCTGGCACTTTTATCCAACTTACAATAAGTGCATTCGACAAACTTGAAGAAAAAACAGAATCATATAAGTACATCAGGTTTCATAGAGCCAAACCATTTTAAGTGCTACTCAACTGGCTATAGATAAGCCAGTCCTTTGTTAGTATATAAGTCCTTTGTTAGTATATAAGTGCTTTGTTAGTATATAAGTGCTTTGTTAGTATATAAGTGCTTACTTATTGAAATAGTAAAATACAGCAAATGATCCAGCATGTAGTCCTGCATCATTATCCAATGCTTTCTATGACACGTCCCTGGGTATTAGTAATCAGCTGTAAACGGTAGTGTTGTGTTACACCCTGTGTCTCCTGCTGTGTGTGTGTGTCCCCCCCCCAGACAGCAGGAACCTGCCGTACGGCCGCCCTGCTGTCCTCTTCAGAACCAAATACTCCATCCTGCACCACAGCGACTACATCAGCGGCTACAGCGAGGCCCTGTCCATGCCTCTGTGGACGTCATACAGCGTCAGCAGACAGGTATAAGAGGAACCCATCAGAGACAGCATGCTGTGCAGGAAACTACCTTCAAACCATTAACCTTCTGAACATGATTAACTTGTGTTGTTTATGGCTCTAACATGTTTAACAGACTTACAACCATCTGCTTTGGTAGAATACAGATCTATTCATTACACTTTACAGCTTTATAACCTGACAGTTCAATATGTTCAACTCTTCTAAGATACTACAGGAGCCACTCTCGTTATTTGTTTTTATTCAATAAATATATTTTCTTAAATGACTTATCCTAGCACAGTAACTGCTATTGATCACATACTGTTACATTCATGTGAAAGTAATTTCTTCCTAACTTGACACCATCGATTGCTCTGAGACTCTTGATCAACTGTGTGTGTGTGTGTGTGTGTGTGTGTGTGTGTGTGTGTGTGTGTGTTTGTGTGTGTGTGTGTGTGTGCGCCTGTGTGCGTGTGCGTGTGTATTGCAGGTAGAAGTGTCCCCTCTGCCTGAAGCTCTGTTTAACTGCGTGCACGCTGACAGCAGAGTCCCCCCCACCTACAGTCAGTCGTGCACCAACTACAGAGCAGACAGACAGATCACCTACGGCTTCCTGTACCCCCCCCGTGAGTCCCCCAGCTGCAACTCTGAAATCACAAGAACTAAACAAAAACTATATTTTGTAGATTATTCATTTTCAAAAAACTGAATATTGATTTAATCAGACACATTCTCATGCATTTACCTCCATGCATTTATTCACTATCAATGCATTGAGCAAAATATAAGGTCTTGTAATTAAATGTACAAATAATTACGACTTACTTTGATATCTTTTCTATGTTGGCTGACAGTGGCAAACCAGCTACAACGGCCCAAAAACACTTACATTAGAACAAATGCTTAAACATTTACAAAAAGCGCTGCACAAACCAATCACAGTTTTTTTACTTGCAATATTTTCGTATTCTTTTGGGCCGTTGAAGCGCGTTTGCACCTGTCGGCCACCGTCATTTTTCTCATATGCATTCATACATTTTAAACCATGGCTCAATATTTTTTGTTTGGTATACCGTATATGTTATACATGTTTGTAATATGTTTAACTTTCTCATTGGCAGAATTGTCTTCAAGCATAGAGAAAAAATATGATGCTGTCCTCATCACCAACACTGTGCCCATGTATCCTGCATTCAAGAGTAAGTCACTCAGCGATTAAAGTCTCCATTGTCTTTAGTATCCTTAGCCGCTTTCACACCAAGTACTTTGCCATACTTAGTGCCCGGCACTTAGTACAGATCGTGTTCACACCGGAATAAGTTCCTTGAGGCAAGATTACGCAAATGAGAACGCTGACACCTCCTCATCACTCCACCGCTCCCATCTTTTCTTTTGTGTTGCCATACGTTAGTCTCTCTGCGTTTCTGCGCTGGGCTAATGCTAATAATGCTAATGCAAGGATAATAAAATGGTGGCTTCACAAAACCTTTTGGGAGTTTGGCGGGGCGTGGTTTGCAATCCGCCCAGCAATCAAGCATAGGAACCTTTTTTCTCCCAAAAAGTCACTGCCTCTCAGCAGGGATGGGAAAAGGGGGTAAAAAGGTTCTCAGGAACTCATTTTAGTTTTGGCTCTTTTTGTGGTGTAAACGCGACATTTCGGAAACTATATCGGGAACTAAGTGGTGGAAAAGTTACTGCGGGCGTGAACGCGCCTCTTGTTCTGTTTTTTCCTGCATTATATCAAGCTGAATCATGCAGGATGGATTTCTCTGATACATTGATCCTCTCCTCACCAGGTTCTTTGCTCCTCTGTTTTGTCTCTTTGTCCCCCCTCTGGCACATTTACGGAATATGGGGTTACTTCCAGAGAGCGCTGGTGAAGAGATTATGCCACTGAGAGAAATGGAGTGAATGTGCTCATTGGACCCATTTTTGACTACGAACTATAATGATTGCGTCAGGGGGACTCTGCGGAGAAGATAAAAAGAGTGAGAACAATTCAATAATTTACACTTTTTATTTATATAGCCAATATTCAAACTCTCATTACACATTTGTCTCAGAGGGGGGAAATTCTGGGACAGACATAGCAAAACTAAAAGGGCGATTTTTCAACTCAGTGCATTAAATTATTAAGTGCAAATACAATACATTCATGCAGGGTCGGACTGGTCCATTAGGAATACCGGGAGTTTTCCCCGGCAGGCCGGTGCTGTGTGTGGGCCTAAATCCTACCGGGCCCACATTTGTAAGTATTCCGGCCACTCCGCTTATTTTTTTTTTGCTTACTAAATCCTACCGGTCGCATTCTTGTAAGTGTTCCGGCCCAGCCAGCCCAGGCCCAGCCCAGTGGGTGTGGCCCCTTGGGCTGGGTTTGGGCCGTTTTTTGATAGGCTACCTTTGTTCTATCTATCAGTTTCAATTTCACACATCAGGGCCCGTAGCTTGCTTGTCATCACTGGCGCAGTGAACGATCCGGAGTGAGTGACTGAGGAGACCTAGCTGGCACGTTGCTTACAGATGGATAAACAAGCTCCAAAGCGTAAATGGCGTTTTTGTATAGTTTGTGTATACAGTATACAGTATTGTAGGCGAGCCCTGGTTCAGATGGAGGGGCCTTGCATAGGGGAGGGGGGGGGTTTGGGCAGGAAACAGGGTTCAGGGGGAGTGGGCTGTACGGCCGTGTACCTGTAGGATAGAAAAGGAGGAGTGGGAGGTCTGACTCAGAGTCGCTGCGGCTGTGGAGGAATGAACCGTGTTGGCCACAATTCTGTTACTGAGTTTAGGGGCTAGTTAGCTAGCAGGGTTTATTGTTTTGGGTGCAGTCACTTTTTGCCTCCACTTGCTCTTCAAATTAATGTTGAAAGAAAAAGTAAATCTGTTTACAGTTCTGTTTATATATGGTGTTGAAGAAGAATTGGGAGGGGTTGAAAGCCCTCTTTAATTGGTTCACACATGCGGAGCACACAGCCACACACAGTGAAATGTGTTTTCCTCTGCTTTTAACCATCCTAGTACCAGGAGTCTAGTACTAGGAGGCAGTGGGGCAGCTATTGCACAGCGCCCGAGGAGCAATTGGAGTGAGGGGGGAAGGGGGGTGTCCGGTGCCTTGCTCAAGGGGCACCACAGCAGGGCAGGAGGTGAACTGGGACCTCTCCAAGTAGAAGTCCACACTCAAAATGTAGGTCTTGGTTTCGCGCGGACTTGAACGGGCGGACCCTACGGCTCACAGTCCAAGCCCCTACTTGACTGCCATAGATTTAGTCCCTCATTGTGCTCTCAAAGTGCACCAATATTGATGCATTTAAACTTCTAGCATTTAAATTAAAAAATCTTTCTCGGGGGGAGCATGCCCGGACCTCCCCTAGAGGAGTTGAGGTCCGCCACCTACCCACAACCCCCTGTTAAACGTGTCTCACCCACCATTTGAGATGCTTTCCTACGCCCATGTTTTTTTTTCCGATGCGTCAAGTAGGCCAAATTGGTGTCAAAATGTTATTGGCATCCATGATCTGTTAACCATTAAAATTCCACTAAATATATTGCTGTAACTTATTTTGCTCTAGGCAACTCAAGGGGCTCACGTTAATGTTGATTACTATATGAATAAATTGTCCAAATTAACATAAAATGCATAGGGTTTTTGTTAGGTAACATACTTTTTCGTCGCCGGCCGGCCGGATACATGCCGGCGCATAAATGGCACATTTCCACTGCAGCGGGGTAGACCCGTTTAAGCGTCCCTAAGCGTCCTCGCTCAGGCATCCGGTGATGCCTCGCTGCCGTCCGAGCACGTGCGCGCATTTTCCATTACCAGTTTAGGGACCTGTGGGTAGCAACCAGTGCGCGGCTGGTGGAAATTATTTTAGATGGGCCTATTGTACATGGTGAATAAACCCACACGGGGAAACATTTTGAGAAAATTACCCCTTAAATTAAATTGGCTACACGTATTTCATCGTTGCTGTTGTATGATTGGTGTTTTTAGCTGGATACGGTATTTAGGTGTCTACAGCACCTCCGCTTTTAGGGGTTGACGGTAAGACCAAACGTCGCCCGGAGGGTCCCCCGGTGTGTTGTGCGGGAAGCTGCTGCACTAGCTAACGGCCTCCGACTAGCTTACGCTACATTAGCAAAAACAAACGCTTATTTCTTTTGGCAAATGGTTGCGTGGGCCTTCAAACACGTTCCCCCTCCACTGGTTTCAGACCCAAGCACTAAATTAGATGGTTTTCCAAACCAAATTACGGTTGAACCGACACTCTCCCCATATTTAATTTGTAAGGTAGATTCGAAGATACCATGAGTTTTCTGACTGCCGCAAGCTTGAAGCTTGGGTTGGCTAGGTTACTAGCTGGGGTTTGGTTCTCCAATAAGGCGGCCGGGGAAACAAAGTTAGTTGGATACTGGTTTCCCATGTTGATTTAATTTCGAATACAAAATTGTTGGGGGAAACTGAAAGGCGTACCGTACTGGCTTACTTTGCAGCCGGACAATTTCCCCCAAAAGCACATTTTTTCGCTTAAAGCGATGCGCTCCGGAGCTGTTAGTGTGAATGCGCCATTAGACGCTATCCAACAACAGAAGTACCTTTCGAATCCGATTATTTTTAAGACCTTCTAAATCATATTTAAAGACTTTCTTATTTTTTTTGGTCATTTAAGACCTTTTTAAGCCATACATTCAGATTACTCAAATTTAAGACTTTTTAAGACCCCGCGGGAACCCTGAGCGTGAACAAAAGACAGTGTTTACCCCTTTGCTCCAGTAGTCACTCACACACACAGGTTACATCACCACTCCCTGTAATTTACATAATTAATAGATAGGTTTAGCTTCTCACATCATTTGCTGTGGCCGCACTGATGTTAACGATCGTAACTGAAAGCTGCCTGTCAACGTAAACATTCAGCACGTGACTTCGCAACTCTCGCAAGGGTTTTACCCACAAGAACGGTCCTTTCTAGCCATAACCCTGCATCGGGCGCTGACATGGCGCCCAGATGATCATCAGATTTGACGACGCTGATTGGCTGAAATTATTTTCGGAGCCATAGTTTACAGATAGAACAGTCAGCTGCTAGGTGGCTGCTTGCTGCGTCTGGTTGAAGGTCCTCTCTTTAGCGCCCAGACGAGAGAGGGTAATGATTACAACGGCAGGAAACATGTGGACTTATCAGTAACTTTAGACATCGTAAATCACCATTTTAAACGAGATTCTTATTGTTAGATTGACTACAATTTTACTGATCCTTAATTTATATAATTTTACGCTTGTTCATTAAAAACATAAATTAAAAAATAAAAATCTTTAAAAAATCTTTCTTTATTTTAATTTTTTTAATTTTAAGTTCTCTCTCAATGTGGGAGAAGGGTGGGGCGCGCGCCCTAGCGCCCATATTGCCGGCCGCCACTGGTAGCAACGCATGTAGGCGGTTGTTGTGGAGACGAGGCGAGGGTATTTTCTATATGGCGACTTGATGAGATGTAGGAGTCCGTCAACCTCCTATCTGGTAGACCATGCTTTTCTTTTGACGTTGCCATTGCTTTTTGTAGCTCCTCCGTTTAGCAAATGCTGTTTATTAAAAATATGCTGCCAAGCTTGCTTCTGATATATATGCGACATTGATGTAAGGGAGAGATAGCGTTCAGGCCGCGCGATCTTGTGGGAACGAT